TGAGTGCACGTAAATTTTTGTAGGACATTGGTCCACCTGGTATCTGTATTATCTCATTTAATCCTCACAATAACCTTCTTAGCCCCATTTTATGGATGAAGAAACAGTGTACTTCCAGGCCTTCACCTCTACTATATCCAGCTGTTAATGGATATCTCTCTCCACTAAGATACTGCAGCAGTACCTCACAATCAAACATTCCAGAAACAATCTTGTATCGTCCCCCAAAATGTGAAGTCCTAAAGCGCGGCAGCTCCAGAATGTCTTTTTAGGGGAGTAAATGGGATCTTTGGAAGGGGTTGTTTGAAGCACCTTTGCAGAGCATTTTATGAAACAAGTAGTAATTGCCCAGATCTAAAAATGATGGGTACTACCATTGACTTGAAACAAGACAGTGGTGGGAGGAATGGGCAAGAATGATAAATTAAGAAAAATATTAAGGAAGTAGATTTGATAGGTCTAGTTGGCCACCTGCATGTGGAGACAGATGGTAGAAAGGTATTAAAGATGTCTTTGAGTTGATTACAGAATAGTGGATGGTAGGACTATTTACCAAGAAACAAACAAACGCGTGGTGGCAGGGGGACTGGGTAGTAATGAGTTCCAAGTATTAGTGAAATCTTGTGTGAAAACTAATATAAGAATGGAGCTGCTTTGGTGGAAAGAAGGGGTAGGGCCTTTATTCTCCCCTGATCCCCTCCCTGTCTGTGAAAGGCAGGGAGCACTTTGGAAAACATTATGGATATACTGACTTTCTTGTATTCTTCTAGCTCTAAACAAGAAAATGCTGATGCTGTTCTAGATACATAGATATTGATGCCATTTTAAGAGCTTTTACAAGAAAGATCCTCCTGGCCTCTTTCTACCCTCCTTTCCTGCTATGAGGTGTCCTTCTAAGGAGGGTGCTCTTCTTTACTGATAATCTAGAAACAGCCCTGTACCACTTAACTTCTTTTGCCCTTGGTGGGTTGTTGTGGGGCTTGGGTATCCTGTTAGAAAACCCTATGTCTTCTGATGAAAAGTCAGCCTGGTTTCCTTCAGAGAGGAGTGTACTTTAGCTCTTGGAATCATGCCTGCCTTCAGTTAATTCCACAACCTTTATCAGTTCAGACTTGAGTCCTTCCTTTCCAACATTCTGAGAGGTGGTTCATTCAGAGGGAATAAGAAAAAAAGCAAAAAACATAGGCCCTGAGGAAGCTGGTAAGACCCCAAGCCTCAGGTTGTGCTGTCCTGAGTCTGCCTAGGGCCAAGCCAGAGCTGGGTTCCTGGGTGTCCCAAGCTTTGTATTTACACAGAGACAAGAATAGGGCTCTTCAAGTTTAATTAAAAACAGGATGTCCCTGCTGGGCCTCTCATGACATTGCTAAAAATAAAGTAGGGAAATAGCCTGGCCTCTTCATGGTTTAATCCCATTAAATTGGCAGGGTGGTGTGGGGAGTGGTGAACAGAAACTGGAGCTAGTAAGACACGATTTGTTTCCAAGTCCTGTCTGGGCGGTGCCTTCTCTCCCTGCTCTATGGAGTACTAGATCTAACACCATCAATGCTGACTTGTTGAGACCATGGAAGAACACTTACCCTAATCCCACTGAGGTTTTGCAGGGATGTCACTCACTCATAAGACCCCTGGGACTTGTCACCTCGTCTCTTTGCTCCCTGCTCTAGTACACCCACGTTCATAGACCTGGTATTCTGAATAACCTGTTAATCCTTTTCTGTGAGTTGATGCACACACAAAAAAAGTGGGGGGGGGGGGCTGAAATCTAGTCTGAACACAATGAAAGAGCCATTTAGGAATGTGAGCCTCTTAAAGGTACCCTGTCTTCCTCCTCAGCCCCTCTGTACACTCAGACGTTATAATTCTTTTTGCTTATGGGTTCTTCTTCGTACTAATCCATCCTCATTACTTGGCCCCAACCCTACTCCTTTAGACTGACAGCTAAAGACTAAACTATTGAAGACTTTCTGCTGGGTACAAGAACCTTTATTTCAAACACAGAGTCATCTGTTAGCTTGGTCCTTCATTCACTCGTTCAATCAGAGTATTAAGAGAATGATCTCTAGATTATCATACCATTGACTTCCCTTCAGGATCCCAAGAAGGAGAATTTCATTAGCCTCAAGTCTTAGAGGCTGAGAGCTCCAAGGAGTATTCCAAACCAGTGGGTTTTCATTGCTACTATGGGACCTTACTGAGGCCCAAACAGACCAGGGGAAGGAACAACGCAGCCCCAAAGAAGGTTAATTAGGAAGGTTAATTAAGAAGGAAGCATCCTTAAGGCTTCTATTAATACTCACTGGAAGGACTGATGGTGAAACTGAAGCTTCCATGCTTTGGCCACCTGAAGCAAAGAGCTGCCTCATTGGGAAAGACCCTGATGCTGGGGAAAATTGAGGGCAGGAGGAGAAGGGGACGACAGAGGAGGAAATGGTTGGATGGCATCATTGACTCAATGGACAGGAGTTTGAGCAAACTCTGGGAGATAGTGAAGTATAGGGAAGCCTGGCATGCTGCAGTCCATGGAGCTGCAAAGCGCTGGACACAACTGAGTGACTGAACAACAACAACAAATAGCTAAAACTAAACTTAATATTTACGCCCCTCCCTCATTACCTCTGTAACTCCTGAAATGTTATAGAGTTCTTACACCTTTAAATGGGTGTATCTGTGATCTAATGAGATACTGACAAATAGATACTATTTTGTTGTTGTTGTTCTAAGATACCTGGGCTTATGAATTCACAAAATATTTCAGATTGTGTAAGTCTGAAATCCAGGTGAGGGGTGTGTGTGTGTTCATCAGTTTGTGCCACCAATTCCTCTTTGGGGCAAGAGTTACAGAGTGGGAGCAAAGAAAGCTGAGGAGAGGGGCTGGACCTCATAGGTGGTATGGAGAGTCTCCTGCTATCTACTCTTGTTACTAAATATTCATGTGGCCCTGAAAGCTCAGCACCTCTGTTTTCCCATTTGTAAAAAAAAAAAACAGTCTCTACCTCTGTGGCCTTTTCTAATTCCCCCAAGGATCCAGGTGTCCCCGCCAGCTTGGCAGGTTGCGCTGTAACCCCAGCACAGATGGCAGGGTAGTCCCGGGCTGGACGGGACAGCAGGGGGACCAGGAGGAAGACAGTGAGGTTTGCCTCTTGCCTGTGGAGCACACTTCAGTGAGTGCTTCTTGGGACAGCTGTCTGTGGCCCAGCTTGCTTACCCCCAGACAGAGCCATGACTCCCAGGTTGCCCTTCCTCCCGGAGTCACTGCGGAGGCAGCTCTTCAGTTCAGCAAGGGCTCTGGGTGGGCTCAAGGCAGACTAGGGGAGCCTGGCCTAAGGGGTCCCTGTGGGGTGCGATCATCAGCCCAAGAGTCGGCACACTGGGTATGCCATTTTTCATTCCTGTTTTAGCAACTGAGATTGTAATATTTATCACCATTTCTCCAGAATATTTCAGGGACTTGAGGCAGGTTGACCTGAACAAGACTAAAGCAGCGAAGCTTAGCCTTTATCTCTTTCTACGACCCATTTTGTTTCCACATTTTCCCTTTGGAGACTACTGTCCCTTAGCTGCCTTCCTTTCTCTCCTCCCTCTGTATTCCAAGTTCCAGAACTTTCCAGATTTCTAACCCCCCCCCCCTCATCCTCTGGAAAAATCCACTTTTTCTAAAACTCCTTCCCAGGGCCAAAGTTCCCAAAGTGAATCTGAGTAGCAAAACCATGGTCTGGGGATAAAAACAATGACTTTAAATTATTCTTCCAAAATAAAAACATCTGATAGCTGATGTCTTCCAGGCCCTGAGCATCTGTGGTTAGGGGGTGGGATCCACAGGTGGTAGGGGAGATAGTTTCAGTACTGCTCAAAAACCTCTTCAGTTTTTCAGGGTTTCAGTCAAAAACTCTTTTCATCATCAGATTTCAGACATACTCAGTTTATCTCAAGCAGAGATTGTACACTTGTTCAGTTGCTAAGTCGTGTCTGCCTCTTCACAACCCCATGAACTGCAGCCCACCAGGCTTTCCTGTTCTTCACTATCTCCCAGAGCTTGCATAAACTCGTGTCCATTGAGTCAATGATGCCATCCAACCATCTCATGCTCTGTCTTCCCCTTCTCCTCTTGCCTTCAATCTTTCCCAGCATCAGGGTCTTTTCCAATGACTTGGCTCTTCTGAACAGATGGCCAAACAGATCGTCCAATGAATATTCAGGGTTGATTTCCTTTAGGATTGACTGTTTTGATCTCCTTGCAGTCCAAGGGACTCTCAAGAGTCTTCTCCAGCACCACAGTTCGAAAGCATCAATTCTTCGGGGCTCAGCCTTCTTTAAGGTCCAGCCTTCTTTACTTGTATTGTGCACTTATTTCATCCAGTGCTCAAGTGGCAGATGGTCCCCATCCTGGGGGATAACTGACAGTGTGCTGACAAGGAATGCAAGACAATGCCACACACAAGCGGAGAGGGCATTGGGATGGGTTGGTAATGTCTGGACGAGGGCAGGCCCTTACAAACAGTGTATATCATCCTCAAGGGACCCAGGGAGTAGACTCTGACCCGCCTCTCTGGCCTGAGGAATGTCATCTACAGCCTGAGAGTGGGAACCCCAAAATCAGCAGCAGCATCACGCGGGATCCCTGTTAGAAATATAGAAGCTTATGACCCCCATTTCCCAACCCAGCCTACTCAGTCAGCTTCTGCCTTCTCATGAGGTCCCCAGGGGGTTCATACGCACAATAAGATTAGAGACGTGGAGTAAGGGGTGGGCCTGGTGGATCTTCTGGTCAGCTGTCGTTTCTGAAGGTCCTTACTGCTGGACACGCTCTGCTGGCCTGGCCGCTCTCACAGCCACGGCACATCTGTTTTCTGCAACAAGCGAGAAGCAAGAACAGAGCCTGCTCCTGTGTGAAGGGAATGCCTTCCCTTCACCCCTGCATTAGGGAGGTTTAATAATAGGGCCATTGTGTACAAAACCAAACCATGTCTCTGTCTCCCCACTGTGTTACTTCTTGTCCCCAGGCGATCTATAAGATGGTTTCCTCCGTAATGAAAATGCCTGAAGATGAGTCGACCCCAGAGAAGAGGACAGAAAAGATCTTCCGCCAGATGGACACCAATAGAGATGGTAGGAGGCCACGGCCACTTTGCTTGATTTTGCTCAGAGTGGGGACTGCTGGAGGGTCTAGAGCATCCGGGCATGGAAATGCCACTCGAGGACAATTTATTGGCCATAGGATCTCGCTCAGGGTCCTTTGTGAAAATAGCTCTTGCTACATGCTCCCTGCATGGGGAGGATGGAGGAGGACCTGAGTGGTTCGCAGTAGGTTGAATCCTGCAGGCTAGCTAATCAGAAAGTGGGAAGGGGCTTGGTATCCACTCAGACCCTAGAAGCTTCCCTCCCAGCCGCCCAGGGGTTCCCTGCACATGCTCCAAAGTGTAGGGTTTCCCAGAACCGAGTGGGGCCCCTCAGCTTTTGAGGGGTTAGGTGGACAGCGGATTCCACCCCAAGGGAGGCACCCACAATTCAAACCCAACAAGGGGATGGCAAAGCAAACCAAAATGAAAGGAGAGATGGATTTCAAACTCAAAAACAGGGGACTTTTAGATGTTGGATTGCCAGCTAAAGTAGAGGTAAAATTAAATTTTATTTTTGGATATATAACAAATGATTTTTTTAGTATAAGTAGGCCCTATGCAATATTTGGAACATACTAAAAAATTATTGTTTATTTGAAATTGAAAGCTAACTGGGCTTCATGTATTTTATTTGCCAATTCTGGCAACCCTCTGTGTGTGTGTATGTGTGTGAATTGCTCAGTCGTGTCCTACTCATAGCAACCCCATGGATGGTAGCCCACCTGGCCCCTCTGTCCATGGAATTTTCCAGGCAAGAATACTGGAATGGGTAGCCATTCCCTTCTCCAGGGGATCTTCCCAACCCAGGGTTTGAACCCAGGTCTCCTGCATTGCAGGCAGATTCTTTACCATCTGAGCCACCAGGGAAGCCCCTCCGACAGCCCTACTTAGATATAATACCTGGGTTTAAAGTTTTGACACAGACCCTGGCCCATAAAAGGCCCTGAGTCATCCATAGCTGTCATTTCCTGAGTGATCTATAGCAAGTCATCTCTTATTCCCGGCTTGCCTGTTCTGCTGGGCATCCCAGCAATTCTTGTCAAATATATGAGCAAAGTTACTCATATAGCCCTGATGAAGGCTTTGTGTCAGAGCAAGCCTCAATTTCTATACCTGTGCCCTCTGGGGCACCAGCGGCCTGAGAATCAGGTTTGCAGAGTACAAGCCAATCTGTCTGTTTGCTTGTTCCTTCACAAATGCCATTAATCCTGTTTCTTTGTGCGCCTTGATTCACAGTGAATAGTTCGTCTTGAAAGACTAAACACACAGGATTCTTTTAATAGGATAGTAAAGGCCCTGACATTAAACTGCACATTTTCCTGATGTTCCAGGAGAGCACAGGAGGGCTTGTGTCCTGCCTGTGACCCGGCCTCCTCTTTAGAATAGGGGTGAAGGATGGGAGAAGATCCAGACATGAAGGATCAAATCCTCCCTGCCAGAAATGAGAGCTTCGGTCAGGGGACTTGGCCACAGTGGGCTCACAGAGCCTCGACAGGGACTGCATTTCTCAAACGCATCTCCTTGCTAAAAGCCCTGTGTTTCCTAATGGAAAGCCTTGATTAAGAAAAAGAGGGGGAGGGGAAGTTAGAGCCAAACAGGGAGGCATTTATGACCCCTCCCCTCTGCAGGGGGTCCGACTCTGCCCATCCAGGAGACTTGGTGCTTCTGCTCTGGGCTTCTAGATCCAAAGGCTGGAGCCCGGGGGCAGAGGCCTCATCTAGAGTGTCCTGCAGTTAGATTCCTCCTGAAGAAGTTCTTTGCATCTAACACCGGGCCTGTGGAAAAGTCTGGCCCCATAGCAAGTTAGCTCCAAAGCCAATTCGGAAGCACGCAGGTTACTGAAGGAAGCAAGACTTCTTCAAGGAAGCAAGACTTCTTCGCTGAATGTAGGCTTCACTCCACCCCCACCCCTAGCCCCAGAAGTGGGGGAGGAGCTTTGCCTCCCCTCTGACAGTATGACTGAGGAAACTTCTGGAAGGGAACTTAATACATACTCTAGCCTAGGTAGAAAGGAAAAGGACCTGGAATAGGAGTGGAATCTCAGACAGCCAGTCTCCCTCCCGCAGTCCATCGGGGTAGGAGGAAAGAGCCCTGACTGAGGGGTCGTCTCTCTGCTTCCGAACTCCCTCGCCCCGGGTGGGAAGGGCAGCCCTCCTCACACCTTGTCCAAAAGAACAAGGGACAGGAAGACCTGTCCCCCCAGGTCCCTTCAGACCCGTCTGCTCATAGGCCAGCCTAGGTGTACCCGGGTGACCCGAAGGAGCCCGAGGGCCCAGTACCCCGCGGGATGTACAGCAGGAACCGAGCTCACTCTCTGAAAGGCGCGAGCGCCATCTCTTCCGTGGACACGGTGGCCTGTAGCCGGAAGGGCCACGAGGGCAGGGACCACGTGGGGGACACACAGCACCCGCCCAGCCCACCGCCGCCCGGAGCCAGGGCCGGGCACACAGTGAGCTCTCAGTAAGCCGCGTGCCGGGCTGTGCGACGCTGAACGAACGACCCCCTGTCCCGGGTCGGGGTCTCAGCTCGGAAAGACAGAAGGTGGGGCTCACGGCTGCTGTGAGACCCCGGGAAAGGGTGTGCTGCCGCCGCCGCCCCCGAGATGCATCGGGAAGACCCCGTTCGCGGGGCTGCCGTTGGCCAGCACTCACCAGTGCCCTTGCTTTTCAGGAAAACTCTCCCTGGAAGAGTTCATCCGAGGGGCCAAGAGCGACCCGTCCATCGTGCGCCTCCTGCAGTGCGACCCCAGCAGCGCCGGCCAGTTCTGAGCCCGGCGCCCCACCAGCCGTAGAGCTGCCTGTGTTCCCTTTGGGTTTTTTTTTTTTTTTTTTGGCCAAACAATATTGACAGTGATGCTGTTACCCCTGTGGTCGGATGCGCCTCCTTCCGTGCCGCCTTCAGCTTTGTCGTGGATGCTTCGTGGGAATGTCTAGACCCCCCGCGCTTGTGGAAGCATGGACAGCGCTGTCGTGCACAGACTTTGGTGTTTGTTGTTCTGACGATTTTTCATCGTTTTTATTATTATTTTTCCTTTGATTCGAAAGTCTGTGTTCTAAACTGAAGACTCGGGGAGGTGAGGGGGAAGGGAAAACAATCCAGTCCAGTGATTCTGTTGCAAACTTGAGGGGCCCGTTGGAAAAACAAAACTCGCCACCTGGGTCTGGAGTCATACAAGCCCTAGGGGTGGTGGCACCACTTGCTGGAGTCCCCGGGGACTGAATCCTCTGGGGCCAGACTCTTAAAGGGACCTAGGGGATCCTCCCAGAGGCCCACCCCACCCTCTTCCCAAATAGGCTGTAGTTTCTAAGCTGTGAACATTTCAAGGTAAATTCATAGAGAAGAAGAAAAAGATGGCTCAGCTATTTCTTGCCAGGTTTACACTAGTTGAGCTGAGTTTCTTTGGAAATTGAATGCAAATGGCAACTTATATTCCAAAACCAGACCCATCTTGTTGCCTATTGTGATTAAAAAAAAAAAAAGATTGCTGTATATAAAATATTGGATATTGCAGACCAAATTAAGTATTTTGCCTTGTTTAAATGAAATGCATGTTTAGTGAGCACTAATACAATCTTATTACAGAAGACTGTTTTTAGTAGCTTATTGTAAAGTAAGCCAGCTGTAATGAATGTCTGTGTCTTGTTTTAAAGTCATATCTGTCTTTGCACAAATGCACCCATCAGCAGGTATATTTTATATACTCCAGAAAAGTACAAAGTAACCATGACCAGGGCCCAACTTTAATTTTGAGTGCTTTTCCAGTGGTACTGCCAAGGGAATAGAAGTGGGGCAGGTTTGAGTGGGATGTGTCAAGTGGAGCACCAGAAGGTTCATATTTATTAGAGATGTGGGTTTGCTCACCAGCCCAGCAGCTCACTGATGTAGTACTGCATTGGAGATGTGCTTTTCTGAGCAGACCATGTTCTGTAGATTTTCCCACCCTCCCCCACCCCAAATAGCATAAATTTTGGGGGTTTCCCAGTGCTTTAATCCACACGTATAGTTAGGAAGCCATAGCTGGAATGTTGACTTTTCCATGCCCCCAGTGAACCTTAAGAGTCAGAGGTTAGGCAGTCATCTGGGTCATCTTGAAGAAGGCATAAGCAACTGTCTAATTTCTAAGGCCCACTATAGATAATCCAAAAAATACTTTCCCCATTATTGTGTTCTCCAAAAAAAAAATTTCTATTTCCAGAAATGAAAACACAAATTTGAGTTGCTGTTTGGTCTGATGACCTTTGTATTGAAAGGTAAGAGTCAAAGTTGCTGGTCACAGGTAAGTCATATTTTCACAAGCAGTAGGCAAGGGAAAGCCCAAACACTCAAGGATGTAGATGAGGAGATCTTGCCCCAAGAGAAGGCAGACAGGTTCCCTGGGTTGCAGCCAAGCTACTTCCTACAGACCATGAACCGCACAAAGATAAACTTATAAGGGAAACGATGCTGAGCTTATTCTAACCTCCAGATTCCTGGGTATTACTCAATTCCATTTAAACTGATAGTAAAAGTCTGCATTTGTGCGGTGGACCAAAACGAACGAAATTTGCAAGGTGAAATTTTGAGACCTGGACTCAGTAAAATAATCCTCTTGCTCTGAGTGTCAGCTTTTTTTATAGTGGTTTTACACCTTGAGACTTGCGGAGTTCCTCCATTGGCCAGGTGGTAAAATCTGGTTTTGAAAACTAGGGAATTAACCTAGTGGCATGCACAATGGCATGGGGACCCAGCACCTCTACAGGTAATGTTCACGAGCTGCATCTCATTTTCTCCTGCTCTTGATTGAAGACCTAATTCCTCCTAATTCCTCCTTGATGGTGGAGTCGGTTAATGTTGGGGAAAGCCCACTTGGGCTCCGTCCTCAGTCATGACATCTTACTGAGCCAGTCTCACTGCTCGCTAGAGCCTAGAGCTGGGGTAAGAAGCAGGGGAGCGTGTCTCCAGCTGTTAAAAAAAACAGAGCAGACAGACACAGGGCTGATCAATGCTGATATGCCCAGGATGGACGGAAAGTAGTCCTCGTCCTGGCCTGCCATTGACCCTGACTGTGTTTTCTTGAGGGTTGTTTTTCTCATTCTTCGCCTTCCCAGGCAGGCCTTTGTATATCTGATCCAATGCACTGTGTGGCCAAGGGACTCAGAAGCACCCAGAAGGCTGAATGCCTAAAAGCTTATGTCACTCCTGAGCTGGGCTGTTCATTGTCATTGCTGTGTTGAGGGACCTCTGGAAATGGGAGTCTGTTCTGTCTGAAAGCAGCTCCGCCTGTGATGCTCAAGGGACTGGAATAAAGTTGCTTACGACTTGAAGGATGATACAGACTGGTCGACTGTTCATACCCTTGTTTAGGGAGGGGAAGGGGTGCTGAGGGTGCAGTCCCATCCCACTGATACACCCTGGGGGCACTTTCCACAGGGGAATTTAATAATACAGATCTACATCTATATTTATACCTATATATCGATATATTTATGAATCCTTTCCTATGGAGTGTGTCCTGCATCAGTTGACTGTGGGTCACTCTAGCTTGGCATTCAAGCATGTTGATTGTTTAATATGATTGTCTGGGACCTGAGCTTTCTGTGCCTAAACTGCTGCTCCAGCTGAATCTGTGCCTGAGTGAGGGCCCAGATGCTGTGTTGGCTTCCTTCTGGGTATGGTTTCAGCCCTGGAGGCACAAGGAAACAGGGTTTGTGAAAGAGGGATGAGAGGGTCTGTGGGCCCAAAGCATTGTCCAAGAGTGTCCTTGATCTACGGCTTCTTTACTTCCGTCCACTCATGGCCTTCACTTTCTTCTCACCTCTTCTCCTTCCTCACGACTGACCAGAGCTATAAACTCTAGTCTCAACATTAGGTGCAATGGAAGGAGAAACGGAGGCACTTTCCTCTTCAGGGGGAAATTAGCATCCCCCCCTCCCCTCCCTGGACCTCTCAGTCTGGAGAAGAATCTATGGAAAAGATGACATGATACAGAGCCCACAGCCTCAAAGCCAATTCCAATCAAGGTGTTATTGCTGTCACTGTCTCTGCCTCCAGCACAGGGGTCATGAATGTAAGAAAAAGAGGCTGAAAGTCAGCTGTAGTAGACGTCTCATAGGCCAACCAGACCTCATGCTGGAGTGAGTTGGCCTGGAGGGGAGTCCTTTTGTACCTCAGTTTCTCTCTATGGTTCAGCAGTGGCCCTGAAGCCTATGAGGACTGAGCATGAGGAACGCCATGTCATTCATGGCAGTGATGGTGAGCAGGTGGCTGGGACCCTCCAACCTGATCAGGAGTCTTCACTCTCACACCTGTTGGAAATTAACCGGTTAATTTCCAGCAAATTTTCAAGCCAGACTCCTGTCTTCAGGGTACTGTCTCAACACCCCAACCCAACCCTGGACTCCCTGACAGTCTAATTCAGGTGTGGGAAGGGGGCCACCGGCCAGGTGAGGAGGAGTCTGTATGTTCCCTCAGTCAAGGTAAGGGGAAATCACGAGTGCTTTCTTTAGGAAAAATGGAGATGCTTCAACAAGCCTCTTATCTTTGTCAGGTGTATGCTTGTATTCTCCTGAAATATTCTGGTTTTTCAGGTGGCCGAAAGAATGTTGTATTTGCCAAGACAGCAGACTATCAGTCAAATTCACCTACAATAGAAAGATTATTGTAGAGTGAAAAGGTTTCCAAGCCAAGAGCCAATGATATATTTTATATCTAACCAATGATACATGCATTGCAGATTTCTCTACACTTGAATGATGACCATGTGTCCAGGACTTAGGTCCTGGGCACTTGCTGCCCTGGCTGCTAATATGCCATTGATTCTCACACACAGGAGTGCAGACACTTGAGTGGGCAGCCTTCCCAAAGTGAAGTTAGAGTCTGGTGACCTCTCATCACATTGTGAAAGTCTAAGGGTAAGAGGGGCTTGTACGCCCTGGGACTGGGGTGACTGCCGAGCCCTGCCTCTCTCAGAGTGAACCACTGTCCTGGCACTGATGATGCCAGGCTGTCATCACTTGGTGTATCATGGTCTTTGAGGATGGACTGCATCTAACCTGCCTCTCCATCCCCAGCACCAGGCACAGTGCCCGGCCCATGGTAACTGAGCTGAGTTGGTATAGAGATGAAGATGAGGGCAAGTTCCAGTCCTGGACCCTGAGGTCCTGATAGTTGGTCATCTTCACCCACCCAGAGTCCCAGTGCAGGGAGGTGAGGGGTGGGATGGCACATGTGGGGGGCCAAGTTCACAGCAGGACCAGAGCTGCCATGAGTCCAGGGAGGACTGCCTCCAGAGAGGAGGCGAGACTAGTGAATGCCCAGGAGGACCTCCTTGGGCAGGAGTGGGGGTAGGGGCAGCACATTCAGACCTCCTACCGATACTGGGGAACACAGATCATGGCAAAGGGGCCTTTGGCCCATTTCCTGATCCATGATCTCTCCAGAAGCCTCCTCAACAAGCACTTCTCCCAGCCTCCTCATTAACGCCCACTGGTCCAGGAATGGAGGCTGCCGAGGATGCAAACAGGGTTGAAGTTGGTCAGAGAAAGCTTTCCCAAGGTGGATTTTTAGCCAAGATTTGAAAGCTGTGGACATAGATGAGAAGGTGAGATGTGGAAGAACACAGAAGCCGCTACTTGTTTGGAACAGAGAGGCTCTTGGGAGATAATCATGGAGGACAGTTGAAGGAGTGGGTGGGTGGTCACTGAGGAAATGCCGAGAAACACTGGGATTTGAGCTGGCGGATACTAGCGAGGCTGTGGCTTCCAGAGCAAGAGACTGTCGTGACGAACTTGATGTTTCAGCCACATGGTTTTAGCATCTGTGAAAAGGTGGGTGAAGATGAACTAAAGGACATGAAAGGCTCTTGTGGTAATTAGTGGAGAGTGAGGAAGACGAACGTGGATGGACAGAGCTTACTCCCTACCCCAAGGAACTGGAAGAATAGCCATCCTGGTGGCCTTTTGTGGTCACACTGGAGGCCTGGTGATGTCTTCAGCCTCTTCTCACTTAACCTTGGGGTGGAGGCACAATGGGGCAACCGGAAGAGGAAACGCCTGCTGTGTTGGAGCCCAGAACCTGAGGAGTCCACGGGGAGCCCAGAACCTTCCCAGCACACAGAGGCTTCCTCCCAGTCAGCCAAAGGGCCCCAACACCCACCTCACAGAAAACATGGGACACTTGAAGTTTACTCTTACATTATGAATATTTATTTTTTTTCTTCTTAAAAATGTACAAAAAATAAAATAACTGTATTTATAGTTTATAGATTCCCCCTCTCCCATTTACAAAACTATTAAGTTACATTTGCCTTTAAAAAAAAAAAAAACATGAGCACAAATTGTCCATCTAGCAATCTCCTTTGCTTGTCTTTGAGAAAGGGCTGTTCATAGAATTTGGCACAAACCCCCTGCTTCTGTTGCATTTTCATAATTTTAAATAAGAAGGAAAATAAACGTTTGATTCAGTTCATGCTTATTAAGTTTCTAGGCTGGGACATGTCTTAGTCTTTTAGGATCCAATTCCAAGATGACATCTGACTGCATTTTTTGTTGGACCCAATTTCCCAGAAAGTCTAAGCATTTGGGGTAAGTTTAAGAAAAATACTTGTTGCATATGTCCCTCATCTTACATGGAATTTTTAAAGCTTATTTATTTGAGTCTGATTAAGAAACAAAAAAAAAAAAAAGAGGAGACAAGTTTTCCCATTTCTCTGGAGTGTTTTTTTTCCCCTTGGACAATTTTGCTCATCAAAGCTCTGCTCATACACAGTGAAGGCCACATCAAAGCTAGGCCACGGGCACGCTGAGAATGCAGAGAGGATGCGGTAAGACGGGGACAGGTTGGATGGGAGGGCACACTCTGCCACCCTTTGCTGGCACCGACCGCATATGCTTTGTCCTGGCAGTGGCCACCACAATGATTGCCCAGGGCCCTGGGACAAAGGCAAAAGTATCTTGGATTCATCTTCTGCCTAGGGCAGGACCAGAAACATTTTGTTCACAGAGACTGGGGAGAGAAGGTCAGGTAACTCATGTCCGATTGAAGAGTTTCTCTTTTCCCTACCCTGGAGTCCTATGCCCTGGCCCGACAGTAGTCACCGTTGTGCCTGCCCATCATGTCTGAAATCACCCCTTAGGCAGGGAGCGTGGTGGCACATTGTACATCACGCATTTCCAATACCGAGTCCCATTAGTACCACATGCTGGTCCAGGATGTGACAGTCACAGAGTGGAGGAGGAGGGGACAGACTGGAGCAGAGCTAAATCCAGGATGCGACCTTTGGCACTGCAGGGAGGGGTAACTCGTCCAGAAGACACACAGAAAGGTGCCCCCTCACGACACCCAGAGATCTTCCTGGGCACGCACCTGCCCTCTAGCCCATTCGAATCCTCTGCAGCCTCGAGGACAGAGGGCTGGGCTGAAAGCAGCCCTTCCGTCCTGCTCTGGGCCTCGGGGGCAGATGGGGCGGGAGGCAGGGAGCCCTTGGAGAGAAAGCCCCCAGGGAAGACATCAAAGTGCTTTACAAACAAATCTGGACCCTTCCATAGAACCTGCCCTAGATCCGGGACCTCCTAGGGAGTGCGGCTACCAGAAACCTAGTGCTTCAGCCCACAAGGCTGAACACGAGCCCCTAGACCGTGTACCTGTCCCCTCAAAGAGAACTGTGGCCCGATGGTTCATGATGTTGCAACTGTTTGGGGAAGCATTTCACCTCCTCTTCATCTGCCAGGATACCCGGTAGGAGGACAAGCCTTCTCTTTCCATCTTCCAGATGCTGGTTTCAGAAGCGCCAGGGCTCCTGGGGTCTTCTTGCTCCGCAACCCCATCCAGCTTCCAGCAGCCCAGCCTGCCCGAGCCGGCTGAGCCCCAGGAGGCAGCCCATGCCTAGCGGTCCAGAGCTGAGCCGTTGGCATCACTCTCAGGACTGTACTTGGGCCTCCAGGGAGCCACTTGAGATGAGGACGTGCTTGTAAACTGTGAGACACTGCAGAGTGGCCGGATCCTCACGAAAGCCCAGGAGTTCTGCGGCAGACCCAGTGACGGAACCCTGATGGCAAGTCCCTGCGGCCTCTCCAGAAAGTTCAGGTGGCCCCGACACCAAAGCTGGAGGAGCTGGGACCTCAGACAATCTGACCTTTCCCACAGACAGCTCAGAGGGAGAGTCAGGCGAAGCTCATCGCCATGAGACAAACTCTGGGCCTCCGGGGCAGGTAGTGCCATAGAGAGGGAACGGGGTGGTGGGGGGCAGGAGGCCTCAGGCGTGCCCACGGGGGCAACCATCTTGGCACCCCCTGCCCGACACCCTGAAGGCCGTGTCCCTTGTCCAGCATGTCTCCTGAACAGCACGGAGGCAGAAACCTCTTGGAGAAAGCGGGGTCTCCAGGTATGCGCCTCCCCCAGGCCTGCGGCAGTAAACATGCCCATACCACAGGTAAAATATATTATTGCGATATTATAAACACTATGTACATGATAGCCAGGCACACTTCCGGGGTTACTTACTAATTACATGGTGGCCGAATGTCTTCCTGTACACGGCCTGGTGGCCTGGTGGGAACCCCTGGGGGTGCCCGCCATTGACCTTCCACAGAGCAGACCGAAGGCTTCTGACCAGGAAGGAGTGTCCACCTTTCCCCCCACCTCGGACGAAGGAAGTGGCTCACTCTGTCCAGCTGCTCATGAGACGTCGGGGGTGAGATGGCAGGAGGGAGCTCCCTCAGGCTCTTCAGGATCAATGGACTGAAAGGGAAAGCTCCGGCCCTTGTCAGCTGGAGCCAGCAGTGACCTGCAGAGTCCTGGCGGGTCCTGGGCCCCAGGCTCCGGAAAAAAGGTGGACAATAAATAAGGATGTGACAGGCTCAAGGCCCCGTCCCGAGGGGCCTGGGCCGCGGCTCCAGGGCAGGAACCGTTGGGTGGCCCAAACGCAGGGATCCCAGCACGGGTCTTAGGGCCTCACCCCGCTTCCCAGCGCAGTCGTGTAACAGCAGTCGTCGGATGGGTGAGGTGGGTCTGCGGGTCCTGGGGGCCGGGGCCTCTGACGTCCCCGGGGAAGGAAGGCCCTGAGGGCTGCAGCCCAGAGTGGGGCTCAGATTTCCATGAGTGTGATCTTGAAGCCTTCCACCATGCTCTCCATGTTGAGGATGAAGGTGTCCTCATTCGAGTAGTGCTCAATGATGTTGTCATCCATATTCACCAGGATGCTGCAGGGGTGAGTGCGGGGTTGGGGGGACAAAGATGCCATGACTGAGGTGCTCAGTGAAGGGCAGGCTCCAGGATGGGGGTTCCCTCAGCCATTCTTTCACAAGGGAGGCTAGGGAGGTGGGTGGGGGGTGGAAGGGAGAGGAGACAGGCAGGGAGAGACGCCCTCACTGTATTTCTTTCCCCAGACATCAGTTAGAGGGAAGCAAAACCTTGATTTCTCAGAACTAACTTCTTCTGAGCCAGGATGTCAGAGATCATTCAACCCAAACCTTTGGCTCTCTAGACTGGTAAACTGAAGCCCAGAAAAAGTTAACAGAGCCTGAAATCACAGAGCTAACTTTTGACAGAGACTGGATCCAAAGAGTTAGGTCTCCTAACTCTTTTCATTAAACCATATTGCCTCTTGAAAACACCTTTTTAAAAAGTCCTCTGCACTTACAAGAGGAAAATAAATCAGAGCTGTGGCTACCCTTCCTCGAGCATGGAGTCTGTTCCACAAACCTGTGTTCAGTCCTCAGGGCAACCTTGGAGGCAGGTGCGAGCACCACCATGTTGCTATTGAGTAGCCTGAATTCAGCGAGGTTAGATCGTGTCCCCAGGCTCACTCAGTCATTTCAAGGCTGAGCTCGGTTTGGGTACTAGCTTTGCCTCACTCTAAGTTCGTACTCTATCACATGTAACCTAGTCCTTTGTTAACCATCTGAGTTGGGTCTCATTTTAAGAAAACCAACAACTTCCAGGGCCCGTCCATGAGACAAGTCCTTGAGCCCATCCCCTTCTTTGAAGTCAGACAGACCTTCGTTTGAGAAGTGACTATCATTTTACAGCTATGTGTCATCAGGCAAGTTGTTTAGCCTTTCAGAGTCTTGGTTTATTCTTCCACAAAAATAAGAATAACAACCCTGCTTTAGAGGGTTGTGGTTAGGATTAAAGTATTTAGCCCAGGGCCTGACACCGGACCCCGTGGAAGTGAAATGCTACCATCGGCATGCACATCAGCACTCAGGACTTCTGCTCAGCATGAGACCCTGAGACACCACTCAGATCTCACCATCAAAGGAATACTCTGAGCCTCTTGCACTGACTTTGGAAAGAACATGCATTTTAGTGAGCTTTCAACCAGGGCTCAAATGGAAAGGGTTTCCCGCTTTACTCCAAATTAACTGAGAGACCCCATCACTTGGAAGTCCCCAATATCCCAGATCATCAATTTCTTCTATGAAAAAGAGTTTAAAGATAAACTTTCTGCTTTTTGTAAGAAAATGGCTCCAGAAGCTGACTCAGTGGAGACCCTTTTCCAGCAATAAATTCTCTTCCAAGGACACTATGCTTACAGCTTCATTCACAGGAGGCCCCGAGAGGGCTGGAGGCAGCAGACAGTAGAATGTGCAAGCTAAATACTTGGGCTTTGGGACCACGGAAGTCTACTTGGGTTAAATCTGCATTTCACTTACTGAACACGAGACTTTGAGCAAAATGTTTAGCCTCCATCTGGCTCGATTTCCTTGGTAGTAAATTAGGGATAAGAATCTACCTCACTGAGTGATGAGGAATAATAGAACAATGCGTATAACGCACTTAGCAGGGGACCCAGAACCTACCGAAGACCAGATAAATGAAAGCTATTGTTCTTAACACTGAGAACAAGAAGGTCCAGTAATCACTTCGATCATTCTGTTAATAATGACCCCAGAAGAATCCTTGATGTCCCAAATCCTTTGTATTCCTACTGTGCTGCCCTGAGACCAAGCCTAAGAGCAGCACTTGAGTCCCAACAAACTTGGCTCTCTGCCCAAGGATGACACTGCCACTCTCCCCACTTCCAGACCCCTCTATTCTACCCACTAATCCTGTCATGGAGGGGGACATCTCAGCTGATACCACGACAGTGCACTCTCACCCCTTCTCTTTCTCTCATTAAAGATCTTCAAAATGCATGGTGCGGGTAAGCTGCTCAGCACTCCTTCGGGAAGATGACATACAATTTTTATAAAAGGCGGACAACAGAACTAACAAGAGATGGGCGCCATCTTGTTTTCACAAAGGGACTGTGTAGACATATCTGATTTGGAAGTCAATTGAAATTCGGTTTCTTTCTTACCCTTTTTTGCTTTTCTTGTAAAGCTTTGCTATCTTCTCCACGGGCAGCCCATATTTCTCAGAGATCTGCAACCAGTAACAAAAAGGCAGATGAGTGTGGAAGGGGAACCAAGCAGAGGCGAAAGAGAAAGTTCCAACGTCACTGTCCGGGAGATGTTCCTGGGTTCCAGTGGCCTTCACTCACGAGTCAAGCTTTCAGAAAGACTCATTTGCAAGGCTCTCCCTTTGGACACACCATAAATCAATCAGCAAAAGATTCAGTCACACTAGAATCTGATCTATGATAAAGGTGTCATTTCAGATCAGTCAGAAAAAGATGGACTGTAGTCATGATGTTGGATTAAATAGATAGAAAAAAATTAACAAGTTACGCTGGATCCTTTCTCCACTCTTTCCATCAGAATAAACATCATCAAAGATTTACATGTGAAAGATGAAACCATGCAAGAAGAAAGCATGAATCAATTCTTTGTATGGATATTATAGATACAGATATTAATTATGGATATTAAAGATAAGGATGATCTTTCCAAGCAAGTATGAAACCTAAAGAAAAAAGGCCAAAATGTTGCTAAAATAGCATAAAATTTAAAATACCAGTATAGCAAAAACTATACACTGGGAAACACTTCTGTGGGCAAAACAAATGACAGATATGGTACAAACTTCCTTAAGTTAGAAAGAACATCTATGGGGGCTCTCCTGATGGTCCAGTGGCTAAGACTCCATATTCCCAATGCAGGGGGCCCACGTTCAATCCCTGATTGGGGAACTAGATCCACATGCAGCAACTAAGACCTGGTGTAGTCAAATAAATAAATAAAAATATATATTATTAAAAAAAAAAAGAAAGAAAGAAAGAACATCTATGAATACAAATAAAAGGTTAGGGCTTCCCTGGTGGCTCAGTGGGAGAGTCTGCTTACCAATGCAGGAGACACAGGTTTCATCTCTGATCTGGGAAGATTCCATATGCTACAGAGCAACTAAGCCAGTGACCCACAACTATCGAGCCTGTGCTGTAAAGTCCAGGAACCACAAGTACTGAGCCCATGAGCCGCAACTACTGAAGTTTGAGCGCCCTAGAGCCTGTGCCCCTAAACAAAGGAAGTCACTGCAATGAGAAGCCGGCGCACTACAAGAGTAGGCTCCCCTGTCACTGCAACTGGAGAAAAGCCCGTGTAGCAATGAAGACTGAGCACAGCCAAAAATAAATAAATAAAAGACTAATGTGCTCACTTTAGGGCTTCCCAGGTGGCGCTAGTGGTGTTAAAAAAAAAAAAAAAAAACCCCGCCTGCCAATGCAGGAGACACAAGAGACTCAGGTTCGATCCCTGGGTTGGGAAGATCCCCTGCAGGAGAAGTTGGCAACCCGCTCCAGTATTCTTGCCTGGAGAATCCCATGGACAGAGGAGCCTGGCAGGCTACAGTCTGGGGTCTCAAGAGTAGGACATGACTTAGCAACTAAACCACCACCACACTAAAACTGATACAGAAAAGATGAACACGGCCCCTGCACAAGGATGATACGCAGGCTCCTGAGTCAGTCCATATTCTTTAATACAAATGAATTTATTTGCAAGACAGAAACAGGCTCCAAGACACAGAAAACAAACAGATGGTTAACAGAGGAAGGGGGGAGGGGAGAGGGAGGGATAAATTAGGAGTCTAGGATTAACAAATATATATAAAATAAACAATAGGACATACTGTATAGCACAGGAAACTATATTCAATACATCTTATAACAACTTATAGTAGAAAATAATCTGAAAACATATATATCTGAACCACTTTACTGTACACCTAAAACAAACACAATATCGTAAATCAATCATACTTCAATTAAAAAAAAAGACTATTCAGTGAAAAAAGGAAGAAAACAACATAAAGAAGTAATTTCAGAAAAATGCGATAGGACAATACACAAATGAAAAAATGCACCATCGCACTAATAACTTAAAAATTCAAATTAAAGCAACCAGAGGATACTATCTTTAATTTATAAGGGCAACAAAAACTGAAAGCTTGATAATACAGTGACAGCCAGAGGATAAGAAACAGCAACTCTCCTAGTCCATAAACAGGAGAGCAGCAAGCTCGACCTTTCTGGAGGGAAGTTTGGCAGAAGACATTGAAATTTAAAAGGCATATATCTCTTGACCCAAATAGTCCACATCTAGTAATGTGATCTACAGAAATACAGTCAGATGTATGTAAGTATGTACATCTTGAAAGTATCACTGTTCATAACACAGAAAACAACCATTAAGCACACTTTGATATTTGCTCAGTTAAAAACCATGAAGTCATATAATCATTTAAAGAAATGCACAATGCCTATATGAAAAACAAAATGTCCTTAACATATGAAGTTCAGTTCAGTCACTCAGTCGTGTCCGACTCTTTGCGACCCCATGAAAACATATTAAGTGAAAAAACACAAATAGAGAAACAGTGTATATTGTGTGATCCGGCTTGTTTATTTTAAAAAATATGTATGTAAGTAAATGGGCTTCCCGGGTGGCGCTAGTGGTAAAGAACCCACCTGCCAATGCAGGAAACATAAGAGACACGGGTTTGATCCCTGGGTCAGGAAGATCCCCTGGAGAAGGGCATGGCAATCCACTCCAGTATTCTTGCCTGGAGAATCCCATGGACAGAGAAGCGTGGAGGGCTACAGTCCATAGGGCTGCAGAGTCAGACCCGACTGAAGTGACTTAGCATGCATGTACGCATGTAAATAAATAGAAAAAATTTGAAAGACCCATCAATCTATTAACAGTGGCTACCCTGGAAAAATGGACATAAACAAGGAGATTATTTTTCTTTTCACTTTGCATAATTCTGTACTGTTTACTTTTACAGTGACTTATTTTCATAAATGTAAAGCAATATAACAGTAGTTTGGAGATGCGTTCTGGAGAGTTCTCGAAATACTCTCTTTCTCCCAAATCCAATCCACCCACCTCTTGTGAGTCCAGTGGCTGGCGCAGTGCACAAACAGCTGGGGCTGGTGAGGTTTGAGACTCTGACTACCGGTGGTCTAGCAGGGCCTGGGGAAAGAGCCCGAATAGCTCCGGGGAAAAGGTGGGATAGCTTTGTCCCCTGGGAAGAGCTTATTCTCCAGAGAACCATAGACTCCCACCTGTCCATCCCTCATACTACATAGGAAGACCTTCCCCACCTCTCCCCCAAGCCCCAAAGGAGCAGAACAGCTGGGCCGAGGGCTGAGACAGCAAAGGGAGACTGGGAAACAAACAGCCTGCCTGTCACCCACCACCGCTCCGTCACTGATGGGACTGCCCCATGGCCGCCCTGGAGCCCAAACGAGCCCAGCACATAAAAGAACCTGGCCTGTGGGGTAGCAAAGAAAATGTACAGAGCTTGTGTGGAGCCTTCCATGTTCTGTATCCATGTGACAGAACACAAAAGAGCACTTAGGAAGATTGTTGTCCAGCACACACACACACATGCAAAATCCTGATCTAAAATACGACTGAACTAAGAGATCTGCAAGTTCAGTAAATGAGTTGAAGGCTAGGTGGTTGATCCAGCAAACCAATCGAGTTAGGAAAGTTTAATCAGGAACCCCATTTCAAGTGCAAAGCAAAGACACATAGCATAGACAGAAATCAGGAAGGGAATAAAAGGAGAGAGAGGGGGAGGGAGATTTGAAAAATAGAGGCAACCATACCAGATGTAAGGAAATTCCCTAGGGGCTCAGATGGTAAATAATCTGCCTGCAGGCTCAATCCCTGGGTCAAGAAGATCCCCTGGAGAGGGGAATAGCTACCCACTCCAGTATTCTTGCCTGGAGAATTCCATGAACAGAGGAGTGTGGTAGGCTACAGTCCATGGGATTGCAAAGAGTCAGACATGGCTGAAAAACTAACACTTTCAAACTTTCAAAGTCTCAGGCAGAGAAAAAGGAGCAAATGGAGAAGAGAAAACAATTAAATAATAGAAGACCACATTTTCAGACAGGAGAGGTATCCTGAATCCCAGAAGGGATCAGTGAGAAAATAGCCATGCATCTGGCCATTCTGAAAAGTGCCAGATCTCCAAAGGTAAGAATAAAAATAAAACATCCTGGAACCTCCCAGACAGAAAGTATAAGTTATTAACATTAATACTAATACTAAAAAAGAAAAGAAAAGGAATGAACCTGGCTTCAGTCTTATCTGCAAAATTGGGAACCAAAGTGGAACAACCACTACAGACTACTGAAAAAAGGGGTGTCAGCCTACAAATTCTGTACACTGACAAGCTCTCCCTCAATACTCAGGTTAAAGAATGGCATTTAACAAATGCATTTCATTCAAAAAATCCCACTTGAAGAAAATACTCATAAAAGATCTCTAGCTGAACAGAATATACAAAAGAACAAAGACTTCAGTGAAGCAAAGGGGGAAGAAACAAGTATCCAGTACTATACCATTAAAAATATATATATATATATACACACACATACTCACATGGAGAGAGACATATATACTCTATATATCTGTATAGATTATATATGGCTGTATAACTATAGTTCTCCATACATAGCTCTTTATATACATATACATACAGTTCATATATAGATATAGAATTATATATATGTGTATAATATATTCTGGAGAAGGAAATGGAAACCCACCCCAGTATTCTTGCCTGGAGAATTCTATGGATGGAGGAGCCTGGTGGGCTGTGGTCCATGGGGTCGCAGAGTCGGACATGACTGAGTGACTAACACACACATATAATATATATCTATTTATATCTATATATAGATATAGATATATAGGTAAATAGACTGGGGAAGTGAAATAAGTGTTAAATAAGGGTTCTTGAAGTGAAAAGAACACAATGGGAGGAAAAATCTAATCATGTCCTAGAGAGAAAGTAATTAACTACTTTAGGAATATCCAGAAGCCTGGAGTGTGTGGGGGCAGTGCAGGGTAAACATTTCAGCAGACTCCTCCTAATGAGTGGAGGAGGGGAGGAGGGGGAGAGACAAAGGCTCTAGAAGACTCCTCTCACCCAGTGGGTAGGGGGGCTGGAGAGCAGGGGTGCAGAAGACAGTTGAAAATTTATTTTCAAATCACAGCACAATAAGGAGAAGAGACTGAAACAATTTAGGAAAAGTAAAGAATAACTTCCAAGAAAAGGTGAAAAACATTGACTTAATCCAGCTGCAAAACTAAACGGAAAGAGAAAGCCACAAAGTGAAATAAATAAAAAGAAATTTTTCGTTGTGAGTTGCTTGACCTGCCAGCGTTGGGTTTTGACCTTTGATTGGTGTCATTTGGAACTTCTTTTTAAAATGAAACATATAAATAAAGGAAAAGGTGTTCTATTTTCTCCTCAACATCAGCAAGCTCACATCTTTTCTGAAAGAGAAGTGACTCTGATTCTTGGATCTTCCCTTGTCAGGGGTTTGACTCCCAGTTTCCAAAGCATGAATGCATATACTCAGCTCACAAATCAGTGGATAACAGTCAGGAAATTTGCATAAATCTGCATTGCTCCAGCTTGGGTCTGCCTGGAAGAGCAGCAGCAGCCTAAGTGCTTAGCATATGGGCATGGGGAGCTCCGCATCCATTAACTCGCTCAGTCCTTGAGTCACTGCAACAGAACAGGTGCTTTTATGAGACCTGTTTCTCAGGCGAGGAAACTCAAGCTTACTTAAGTAACTTGCCCAGGGTGCCTCAGCTAAGAAGTGACAGAGACAAGATTTAAAAGGTTAACAGTCTGGCAGTCTGGTTTTGGATTCTACACTTATGGAGAAAAGGGGCATATGTTGGGACTGTTTGGAGCAGGGCTCCAAGAAGATACTGGCAAAGCAGGCTCGGGCATCAGGCTGCCAAGGGCAACAGTCTCCAGGAGGGCAAAGCCCTGGCCTCCGTGCAATCATCAAAGGCAAAGGCAACTGGATAAAATGCCACCTTCACACCACATCCTCTGCCTCCACGCCAGGCAAGGAAGTGTGCTTTGCCAAACCCAGAAGCCTGGAAAGAAGTGAGACCATGCTGGATAGCATGTGGAGGAAGCTGGCCATCTGTCGGGAGGTTACGGAAAGGAATCATTCTGCCCAGGAGCTGGGTGATCTCACCGCAGCCTCCCCCTTTCCGTGCGCGTGGAAAGCACGTGCTTTGTGGCAGTTCTCAGAGCAAGGCATTAGGAGTGCTTACTTTTTTCTCTGTGTTTTTCAAGTCGTCTGAACTGTCCAAACACGTCCATCATTTTTAAAAGCCCGTGATGAATATTTTTAAGGACCCCTAAGATTTCCTTGGCAGGCTTCCCAGGTGGCGCTAGTGGTAAAGAGACCTCCTGCCAATGCAGGAGATGCAGGAGACGCAGATTTCTGACAGATGCAGGAGACTCAATCCCTGGGTTGGGAAGATCCCCCGGAGGAGGGCATGGCAACCCACTCCAGTATTCTTGCCTAGAGAATTCCATGGACAGAGGAACCTGGCGGGCTACAGTCCATGGGGTCACAAGGAGTCAGACACAACTGAGCACACATGCACACACACAATAGATTTCCTGAGCGCTCAGGAGGATCCTAGGTCTTGGACATATCCCATCAATGTGTACTGGCTATCTGATGATCTGGAACATTTAGACTTTTACTCCGTGGAGAGTTCTATTTTCCCAGAAACCTCCGGCCTGTGACAGGCAGAACAAATTCCCATTGGTTTTCACCAATGCAGGACTCTGTCTGCCTGGTCTAGAGGCATCTAACACAACTGTCAGTTCTGGAAGCTGATGACTTTTCTGTGGAGTTATAAAGTTATAAAGTGTTCGGTGTGGGCTCTAAGGCGGCACTTTTAAAAAAATGGTGACTCTTGCTTGCAAATACTTCGTGGGTGACTGCATTTGATCTGTCAATAAAATCAGAGGGGACAGTCTTGTATCTCCATGCAGGAATGAGTCAGCTGCATAGAAGTGGGTGCTCCCAGGTTCATGAACCCTCCTTTCCTCATGCACCCTAGCCAGCTTCACCATGAAAGAACACCCTTATTTTTAGCCCCTTTGGTTAGAAGGACTCTGTCTGCCTCCCCACCCCATAGCACATACAGTCACCTACTATATATACATACTCACCTATATTCTATGTGCTGCTTTAAACATCTTGTCTATGAACTCACTTAATCCTTGCAACAACTCTACATCTCATTTTATCATTATCTTCATAATAATAGGCCATATTATCATTAGTCTCATTTCAGAAATGATAAATCTGGGGTGTAGAGAGGCTAAGAAATTTGCCCACTACCCTGAAGTGTCAGAGCTAGGACTTGAACCCTGGCTGTGCAGTTCAAAGCATTACACACACACTTCTGGCTGGATGGCTCACTATTGCCCAAGCTTCTTTCCTTTAGTTGTTGTGATCTGTGGCTTGGAATGTTTGTTCTTCCTGCAATAACTCTTCATGTGTGGACGTCTCCCTAAGTGGACTTAAGCTGCTCAAGGGCTTAAGTTGGCTCTGCCACTCCGGAGCTATCCAAGCTCTCAGGGCACCCACATCTGTAAAGGATGGTGATGACATCTGACCTCGCAAGTTTACAGGGATACTGTGAGGATCAAATGAAACAATGCACGAGGAATACGCGCCACCCACAGCACTCGGCATGGTGGCACATGCACAGCAGACGCTCGATTCAGGCAATCGAGCGCAATACTCATGCGTAAAGACCTGGGGATACACAGAAGACGGCCAGAGACAAAGTCCCTGTCCTCAGGAACTTCACATTCCATTGGGGAAGAGAGAAACAAATAAACACGGTTAGTCATAGTGCGGGTGGAAGTGAAGGTGATATCGAACCCCACTGTGATCCAGCGAGACCACAGCTACCAAACACTTGTAGAACTGAACAGATGTCACAGGAGGAAAGGAAGACACCAAGGAAAAAGGTGTGATGAATCGTTTAGAATTGGTCTAGATCAGTGGTTCTCACAACTGGTGAGCTAAGAATTCCCTGAAGAACTGGTAAAAATATAGTTTCCTGCAGCTCCATCCTTACCCCACCTCCAATTAAGCAGAACTGGAATCTGGGTTGAGGTCTAGGTTTGTGCACTTGAAACAGCTAAGTCAGTTTCAGTAATACGATCTTAAAGGCCTGATTAAGGGTATGAAGGGCTTCCCAGGTGGCACTAGTGGTAAAGAATCCTCCTGCCAATGCAGGAGACATAAGAGACTCAGGTTTGATCCCAGGGTCAGGAAGATCCCCTGGAGGAGGACCTGGCAACCCACTATTCTTGCCTGAAGGATCCCATAGACTGAGGAGCCTGACGGGCTGCAGTCCATGGGTCGCAGAGAGTCGGACACGACTGAAGCAACTTAGCACGCAGGCACGTAGGGTATGAAGGGTATGAACTCTATCCAAAGAGTTCCTCTAGCTCATGAATCAATCTTCCAGTGATTTTAGGGTCATTTAAAAAACCTTGGTTCTTTTGAAGAGGTAGAGCTCCCGCTTTTTGTTGTGTTCATTTCTGATTGTGTTTTCCCTTTACAGGGGCAGATTCAGTAACGACAAATTCCATTCCAGTGGCAAATCCTGAGAACAGAAGAGATCACCAAGCCGGGCATACATGTGTTTTCTGAGAGGGTGGTCCTCCATGCCCTGCTCTGTATTGGCTAACAGTGCCAACCACAGGGGGCGCAGTGTGCATTGGTAACATTCTTATGCTTTTTAAAAAAAATTTCAGGTGAACAAATAATTTTTTTTTACATGTCATACAATTCCCCACTTAAATCATTTAAAGTGTGCAATTCAGTAGTATTTAGTGCATTCACGATGTTCTGCAAACATCAGGACTATGTAGTTTCAGAACAATTCATCAGCCCAGAAGGAAACTCACAAAATAGTCTTTCCTCATTCACCTTTCATCGAACTCCTGGCAACAACGAATCTGTTTTCTGTCTCTATGGATTTGTTTATTCTTGATATTTCCTAAAAATTGAATCATACAATGTGATCTTTTGTGTCTGGCTAGCAATTCCACTCCTCATATATATCCAAAAAAATTGAAAAAACAAGTATTCAAAAAAAGAAAAAAACTTGTACCCAGATGCTTATGGCAGCACTATTCACAATAGCTAAAAGGTGGAGGTGAAAATCCAACTGTCCATCAACTGGTGAATGGGAAATTGAAATGTGGTATATTCATACAATGGACTATTACTCAGCTGTTAAAAAGAATGAAGTTCTGGTTTATAGTACAACATAGATGAACCTCAAAAACATTATGCTAAGTGAAATAAGCCATCCACAAAAGACAACACAGTGCATGATTCCACTTATAGGCACAGTTTTATACATTTTGATATATTACTCCATAGCCCAAAATGCTGTTTCAATGTAGCAGTTTTCCAGACTAACAAAAGTTCTGGACTGGCCCTTGGCAATCCTACTGTCTCATCACTATGTGCTGTGCTTAGTCGCTGGGTTGTGTCCGACTCTTGTGACCCCATAGACTGTCGCCTGCCAGGCTCCTCTGTCCATGGGCTTCTCCAGGCAAGAATACTGGAGTGGGTTGCCATTTCCTTCTCCAGGGGATCTTCTCAATCCCAGGATTGAACCCTCATCTTTTATGTCTCCTGCATTGATAGGTAGTTTCTTTATCATAGTGACACCTGGGAAGCCCATATTTGGAAATTAAACACATCTAATTTGGTTTCTTGCAAAGAGAGTGATAGAAACCCATAATTTAACCTTCCTCTATGGCATCTTTACTCTGATTAGCCTTAAACTGACAGGGAATTGGTAGTTTTTCAATTTCCTCCTCCTTAAGAGAATAAGCCATGACAGGATAGAAATCAGTGTCTCCATAAATCTCCACTTCCCCTTTTTCTTTTATAAAGCTCATTCCAGAGCCAACCTCGAAGGCTGCCTTTTAAGAAATGGATTCCAGCCCGGGAGGCTACACGCTGGTTTCTGGGGGGCTGAAGGGGGCTCGCGCTTACCGCTTCCATCAGGCCCTTCACGGTGGGGGATTTCAACATCAAGGCGTCAAACACGTCGTCCGTCTCCTTCCTCACGTACAGAAGCACTAGAAGAGAAGGGCAGGAGGCTGTGACCACGGAGCCCACGCAGAGGCCGCCATTATCCGACCCCTGACTCGCCGACATCCCACCCGGGCGACGAGGCACCCGCAGCTAGGGACTGTCACCCAGGATTCGATGAAAGAAACCGACCGTAGGCTGTAAGACGTCAACATCCATCACGTTTGAATTCCTTAAGGTGGGCACACCATCTCTTTATGACCCATCTTTCTCTGACCTCTATCTTCTATTTATTTATTTGATCATTCAACAAATATTACTGGATATCTATGTGGGCCCAAGGCCCCAGGCGGTGTGACAGGAGCTGGGGTTGCAGCAATGAGTTAAGACACAGCCTGCCCTTCAGAAGTCCGTAGTCCACTTAGAGAGGTGGGCATTCCTCAAAGGAGCAGGCAGGGCGTCAGAGTCATAAGGAAAAAACCACAAGTGGGGGCTTATAGGGGCCTGAGCTTTTCGAGGGGGTGGGGAGGGAGGGCTCCCAGAAGGCTACTCTGAAGGAGAGATCTGAGTTACGGAGGGTTTAGAGGCATCAGTGCAGGCAATGGGGGTGAAGAGGGTGAGAGACGACAGGGAGAGCGACCCCCAGGTGGACAGACCAACAGGCCCGCAGGGAGACAGGGCAAGTCAGAGGCAAGCTGAGGGAGGAGCTGAGAACCTGATCTGGCTCTGAGCCCGGTTCAGCCTGCTGGGGGGCCCTGGTCGTTCAACCCCTCCAAGCTGAGGGCGATACCTCCCTCGTGGGGCTGCTGAGAGGGTTAAATGAAACAGCAGCCCTGGGCACCAAGCATGCAGGCGGCACCCCCAATTCCTCCATCCCTGCGGTCATCATGAAGCAACTGTAGTGACGGCGCTGGTTCCCTGGGCAAAGGCACATGCAGGTTTCTGCTCATTTCTCTATAACCTAACATACTGGATCTGGCAATGCACAGCCAGGCAGGGACCCCAGGGGTCCTCAGGGAGCAAAGACACACTGTTACTGCAGACCCGCCCTGACAGCAACTGCGCCAGGCTTAGCTCCCGGGAAGAGCGAGGAAGTGCTATTCAGATGTGATTCTCCAGGCCCAGTGAACTGCCTGCCCTTTCTCTCCCTCCTCCGGGTGATGACATGGCCTCTGGTTCTGCCTTCAGAGGGAAGGAAGGGGGCAGAGGCTGAAGCCACATGCACCTGGCCGCGATAGGAAGAATGCACAGGTCAGAAGCCCTGCTGAGCCCGGATCCTGACCGCCCTCAGATACCCACTGAGTCACGGTCACCACCAGCCTGAAACAATGAAGCTGGAGCCGGGAAATGAAATCAGCTCTCACCCAAACTCCCACCCCTTCTTCCCCTCAGGCCCAATCCCCAGGGACATCATTAAAGTTGCTGCTTTGTAACGGCGGCGTCTATGGGTGCGCATGGGCTCTGCCCACATTCTCCTTCTGCAGCCAGAGGTTCAGTTTCTGTGTGATGCCCCAGAAAGAAAAAAATAAAACCTTAAGCATTGCAGTTTCTTCTCTTCATCAAGTATAAAAATAAAATACCAAGGAAATAGATGGGAGAATAGTATCTCCAATACTGGATAGCCCCCATTTCAGCTACAATGATCTAGTGACCTAATGGCATTGTATGAGGACTCAATGTTAGCAGCACAGAGAGAAATAATTAGACCACAGGGCCTCAATTACTACTAGATGGGGGAAATTAAAATAAAAAACAACAAAACAGAACAATACAAAAACCCCCACCGGTGCCTCTTTACAGATGAATGTTCTGTAACTTCTTCCCATGGACCTCCAACAGAAAAACGTAATCTCCAGTATCCTAAGGAAACCCCAAACCATGTTCTGTTAAAGTGAGTACCATTTCCACTGGATATGAGATAGTGCAGCTGCCACCCCTACCGCAGGAGTCCCTGGAAAGGGTTAAAGGGGGCGTGGCGGCAGGTTGATGGGCTGCAAACTGTGTCACCGTCTCCTGCTGGGATTGTTGACAGCCACACAGGCAATGCTGGGCTCACAGCCCATGGATTGCCCAGAGAGACAGCTCTCATCAACTGTGCGTCTATGGATAATAATCACTCCGCTAATGATAGCAATAACCATTATCACACATCCAAGACCTCCTACAGACAAAGGCAGCCAGCCACGGGGGGCCAGCCCCCGGTGACTCCAAGGGAGCCTCCCTGAGAAGTGGCTGCAAAGACAAAGCAGCAAACAGTGGCACTGGTGATAATCATGGTCACTCCCTCTCCTGGAGAACTTCTAACAAACAGTGGGCACCATCGCTGATCCCGGCTCCTGTGCTCAACACAGCCCAGTTCAGAGGAGGAGCTCCTGGCGGAGGGGCTCAGGAACTCCACAGTCCTTTTCCAAAGAAAAGCCACTCCTGGGAGTTCTCTATTGCTGGAAGGTTGCAGCGCCCTCGTGTGTCCCTACGATTGAGATGTTTCAAAGGCCATAACCATGTCTCATCACAGCCCAATACAAATTCTGGTGGCAATTTTTGTGCTAACTTCACCACCTCAAAATAATCTGAAAAACACAAACTTTAGACCAGCCACACTCACTCACTATGGATCTAAGCTGCAATTACTTTGGCCTGTATGATTCTTCATTTCCATACAACACTGCCCTCCTTTCAAAGGATAAGACATAAAAGGCGTGCAGGAACAGAGCTCAAAATGGACTCAAATATTTGATGGTGAGCCTGAGAAATCTGAAAAGCCTTTAAAGGTTTAAATATTACTACTGCAATCAACACTACTCAGGTATTTATGCTCTTTGAATTCTGAAATGCTCATTACTCAATCATAATTATGATAATATGCCTTAACTGGATCCAGGCCTAAAAATAAAACAGATAATTATAATAGTGAAGATGGAGTGCTTACTATGCATTGGGCACTTGAGTTTGGTGCTTTACATACATTAACTCATCAATCCTTACTCTGTGATGTAGGTATTCTTGTGGTCCCCATTTTACAAGTGAGGACTCCAACTCACAGAGGACCTTCCCAAGGTCAAACAATGAGGACTCCAACTCACAGAGGACCTTCCCAAGGTCAAACAATGTGACGAGGCTGAGGGAGGCTGCAGAGGGGATATTCTCACCACTATGCAAACCCATTTCAACAAATAGGGGAAACAATTCTCAATAACAAAAACCTCAAGCCTGTGTTAATGTGCAACCTGCCTCATTAACAGTCCAGTGCTGCATAAGCCGGAAGTCCTGGAAGCTCTTGGTGTTGGCTACAGCAGAGTGTGTGGGGTACGCCCCCCCTTCACCCCTTCCTCTTACTCCCAGGAAGGACAGTGGGTCAGCAAAGCACTGAGATGCTGAACAAGACACTAAATGCCCGTGATTCCTTTCTTACCCTCTTGGTGAAGTGGAATAATATCCTTGACTGAGAAAAAATGAGTTAAGTTGTGATGTCACAGAAAATAGGTTCATTTTCTTGTACCATGATCAATCACTGGCGTCTATTGAATAAGTCTCAGCTCTTAGTGCTTAAGAGAGGTTATTGTCAAACACAGCGTGGGTTTCTTTTTAACGTTCTAACTCACTGCTGGATGAGTCAGTATATTTATTACATTTCCCTCAAGGTAAAGGAAAGAACCAGTGCCCAGAAAGAATAAATGTTTGCTTAGGTTGTTTAAAGAGACATGGTTGAAAAGCAAAGGAGGACACTGTGGACTTCCTGTGTCAATAAGAACATCTCCAGGCCAGCACGGAACTGCAGGGCCCGGATGGAATGTGAGCTCTTCTGGGCGAACTGTCCCCCACTCTTCCTCATGAGAGCAAGGCCAAGGAGGGCAGGGCCCCAGGGGGAGCGGTACCTCGCTTCATCCCTTCTTCTTTCATCTGCTTAGAGGGTGCTGGACCAAACTCCTCTTCCATGGGCCTGAACATCCGTTTCACAAGGACACTGCTGCTAGAAAAGATGAGAAAGTGTTCATTCATTCAAGTATGTGGGCTGCCAACAAAAATCTTTTCCCGTTGTGTATACCATCCCTCATCACAACTGGATCCATGCACAACGTCCTGCCTTCGGGTTGCAGGTCCCGAGCGGGCATGTGGGGCAGAACACACACGCCAATATCTTTACCACGTGGCCCTGAGACATCCTCTTTGTCCTGAATACAGATCTGCCAGGGGAGACCCCTGGGTATCACCCATTCTGTCCTGCACCTCACCCGCTTCCTGCTCAAATGTCTAGGGCTAGGGAAGTGATGTGAGCTCCAAGTTACCTAGCCCCTCCCATCTAGCTAGCGTCTGGGTGTCCTGCACCCTCTCGCCAGCCCCGAGGGCACAGCATGACCTCTTTCTGGAAAGGGCACAGGCCTGCCTGTGTGTGAGTGCTAAGTCGCTTCAGTCGTGTCCGACTGTTTGCAACCCCGCCAGGTTCCCCTGTCCGTGGGATTCTCCAGGCAAGAATACTGGAGTGTGTTGCCATATCCTACTCCAAGGGATCTTCCCGACCCAGGGATCGAACCCACATCTCTTACGTCTCCTGCATTGGCAGGCGAGCTCTTTACCTCCGGCGCCACCTGGGAAGCCCCCAGACCTGCCTCACTGGGTCTCAATTATGAGGTTGCCTTCAGATCCTGATATTCCATGGCTCCGTCAGTTTGTGACAGAGGAGACTGCAGTGGTGGAGGGGGTTTCAGTCCCCCTTGCTGAGGGCCCACACATCCCCAACCAGCCAATCCTGGTAGCTCTGCATCTCCTCCCAAAGTCCCTGTCCATTGGGGGCACTCTAAGGAAGCGAGTTGTTCAGGAGAAAGGAACCCAGAAGAACAGTAGTCATCATTGCTGAGAGTCGCAGCTGTGTGTCCCCTCATACTCAGAGGCTGAAACCCGAGCCTCCAGGAGAAGGAGAAGGGTATTCAGGGGTGGGGGCATTGAGAGGTAATTAGACCCTCTGGGTGGAGCCCCCCATGATGAGAGTGTCTTTTAAGGAGCGGACGCTCTCTCTCTGCCATGTGGGGACACAGTGAGAGGGTAGTGGTCTGCAGGCCGGGAGAGGGTCCTCACCAGACGGCAGCCACCCTGGCACTCTGATCTCTTCCAGTCTATCCTTCTAGAGACTTCCAGCCTCTCAAACTGTGAGACATACGCTCTGCTATCTGAGCCACCTAGCTCATGGTATCTTGTTATAACAACCCAAACTGACCAAAACACCAAGCAAATGGTCCTGCATGGAGTTTTACTGTCCATTAAGTCCTCAAGAGAGCAGGTGTAGGTTTTCAGAAAACTTTAATCTCTGTGGGGATTCCTGGACCCAGGCACATGAAGCAATGATAGATGAGCAGCTCAGCAGTATTGTTAAGACATGAACTCTGGGTACAGACCACCGTGGTTTAAACCCCTGCTTTGCAGACTCACAGACATAGAAAACAAGCTTATGGCCACCAAAGGGGGAAGGGGGGAGCAATAAATTAGGAGTTTGGGATTAAAATCTAAAATAGATAACCAACAAGGACCTACTGTATAGCACAGGGAACTCTACTCAATATCTTGGAATAACCTATAATGGAAAAGATTCTGAAAAATTATATATATAACTAAATCACTTTGCTGGACACTTGAAACTAACACAACACAATAAATCAACCATATTGCAATAAAAATTAAAAAAATAATGACCCCGTGCTTTGCAATCTACGAGCTATGGAAACAGGGACAAGTCCTTCACCTGCCCTGAGACTCAGCCTGCTTGTCTTTAAAAGGAGGCTTCTAAAAAAAAAAACAATAATAATAAAAGGAGGCTGTTGAGAGAAGTGAGTGAATTCAACATATGTGAAGCACTCACAGAGTTGCCTGATACACTGTAAGAACAACTGAAGTGTTATTAGGGATGTGTCATGATGATCATGAAAATGAATGAGGGAGAGATCTGAGGAAGAGAGATACGGGGAAAGAGTACAGAAGGCAGACAATTTGAAAGAGCTCAGAATTCCCATTTATCATCATATAGCAAATAGTCCAAACTACCTCTCTGGTCCAAATTAAGGACTAAAGTTGGAAAAACTTCCTGCATTGGAGACTAACATTATATCAATTCCAAGCTTCCAAGATATTAATAATATAAAACTCTGTTCCAAAGCCAGACCTCTACTGGGATCACTGTTATTAAGAAATTATTATTTCATCAATTCTCAAGTTGAGCTAATGGTGGGATCCAGTGGTAGAAAGAGCACATGGGATAAAACTCTCCAAACAGCATTTCTATTAATTCTAATGGTTTAAATTACTAAACCAACAAGGCTTTAATTTACCATCTCACACTCTAGATCTGTGACTGTGAAAGTTGTTCAGTCATGTCTGACTCTTTGCAATCCCACGTAGCCCGCCAGGCTCCTCTATCCATGGAATTCTCCAGGGAAGAATACTGGAGTGGGTAGCCTATACCTTCTGCAGGGGATCTTCCCAATCCAGGGATCAACCTGGGGTCTCCTGCATTTCAGGCGGATTCTTTACCAACTGAGCTACCAGGGAAGCCAACTAGATAACACTCTAGATCAGGGTCCCCAAACTCCTGAATCTAATGCCTGATGATCTGATGTGGAGCCAATGTAATAATAGAAACAAAGTGCACAATAGGTATAATGCGCCTGAGCCATCCTGAAACCATATCCCCTCCTCCAAGGTGCCTAGAAAATTGTCTTCCATAAAACCAGTCCCTGGGGCCAAAAAGGTTGGGGATTGCTGCTCTAGATAGTCCAAAATTATGTTTACTAGCCCTTAAGAAGACCACATTTTATAAAGCACTTTTCATCTCCTTGGTAAATTAAGTCTCTTGAACACTCTGTGAGCCAGCAGGGTGAGAACTAATCTTATCCCTATTCAGTGATGACCAAACTAAGGCACAGCTGTCGTGTCTTATGCCAGGCAATGCAGCTAAACAGTGAATCAGGCTGTTAAAAGAACCCAGCTCTGAGGGACAACCTCATGATAAACTGAGATGACGATGAGTGAGAGTATGAGAAATGATATTAAAGAGTTAGCATCCTATTTTATCCTATGGTAATCAAACTATGGAAACAGCTAGAGGAAAAACTCAAGCTCAAGTCCCAGTTGAAGGTGGTAATAAGTTTTTAGAGCACTGTTCGCTCTATCTTCCCCTCACTTTTCTTTAAAATCATAAAAGTGGGTCATATTATTCTGTCATGTCTTGAATCTGGACTGACCATGACCTTGGGAGCAGAAAATTAAAAATTCATTGACTTGGCAGTCAGTGACCAGGAGGCTAATAATGGGTAAACAGCCTGAAATATCACCAGACACTCATGCTGTGTCAGGGTTCCTTAACTACTGATTTCCTTTTTCTCGCCAAGGAAGATTTATTTATATTTTTCCAGTTCTGTTGACTTTTGACAGCACTCCACTCTGAGCCATGACAAACTCTGTCATTAAAATAACATCTTGGATAAACCACATTTCTCTTAGGAGTTCAGAAATGCTTTTTCACACTTCCAAATCTATAAACCCAGTGGGAAACAATAGCTTGTGTGGTCTGAATTCAATGGTGTCATTTCTTTTCAAGGCAAGGTGAGAAAAGAAGGGCAGAAATGACTGCCCAGTTGATAGATGGAAAAAGCACAGATTTCAGGTCTCCTGGTGTCCTGTTCAATTACAGCAGATTGCACCACAAAAGGAAGAGGACAAGGAGAAGGTACTTTCTCTGACACCAATCTTCATACTCAACTCACACCTTTCGGGCACAGTGTGTTAGGTTAACGTGTGGAGGGACTCCAGACCCAGCAACGTATGAAGCCATTGTTTGATGGGGTCAAATTCAGGGAAAGCAAGTCCCTGGGGTATAAACAAAGGCTAGCTGTTTCATCAGAAAAAAACTGGGAAAGTGCCTGGGTCTGAAGCCTGCGTCTCTGGACACACTGGGCCATGTTGAGCCCCACCTGTCAGGCTGAGCCACACTAGACATCAGTACCTAGTGAGGACGCGTCAGAATAGAGGGCAGGAAGGAGCTGCCGGCACCATGGAGACAGTTTGTCTGGTTCACAACTCTGCTTATGGCCTGCGTAAGCTGACGACCACATCCACCCTAAATAAGTGAACGTCCCTACCCTTTGTTCGCTTCCCGGTGGCTCAGACGGTGAAGAATCTGCCCGCAATGTGGGAGACCCAGGTTCAATCCCTGGGTCGGGAAGACCCCCAGGAGAAGGGAATGGCAACCCACCCCAGAATTCTCGCCTGGAGAATCCCATGGACAGAGGAGCCTGGTAGGTTACAGTCCATGGGGTCACAAAGAGTCGGACACAACTGAGCGACTAACACCATCACAGCCCTTTATTAGCCTCAGAAAAGTAGAGCTCCTCTTATGGTCAAGTCCTCACAAAGGCTCTCACATAATGGAGTAGAATCTCAATTTATTTGCAACAATAAATCACTCTTTGGGGAAGACTCTATCAGCTCCAAATGACTTTAATCAATGCTAGTTCAGGGTCTTGGCAGAATTCATCTAACACAGTCAGTAAAAACAAACCAAAGTCAAAAAGCAAACAAATCCCACATATATTTAGTAACAATTACGGTAGTTAAGAGCTTACAATTGAAACCAGTAAATAATTAGGTCAGTAGGCCCTAGAAGGATCATTTTAAGAGGAAATAGAGATATTTTTGTTTGTGGCTAAGATGTTGCAGCTTGTGGCAAACCGAGCGATGTTCCAGCCAAGAACAATGTAAGTAACTCTGTGTGTGTGTGTGTGTGTGTGTGTGTATGTTAATATTTAATCTTGTTGAAGGTATTGGAGACTACTGTTGAGTCAGCCAGAACCTGAGAGCCAAGGTCCCAGAGGAGAAAACTGCAGAGAGGTGGGTTGATAGTCAGTGAGCTGCTTTCCCCTGAAGCATTTGCCATTTCTCAACTGGGAGCAGAGGATGGTGTTCTCAGCAGAGGCACACACTTAA